GACAATCTACCACGATGAGCAAAAAGTCTTCTCTGTCAATCTGCTTGAGAGTGAACATTCCAGAAATAAATATTGTCAATAGTATTTTTTTTGATCTTATCGAATTAACAAATACAGAAGCCTCGTCTATTGCAAACTCTTTTATATGTGCTTTACACGATTTTGGTTTTGACAACTTTTTTATTACGTAATTGGGTCTTTTGCATGATCTAATATGCTTGGAAAAAAGGGAGGCGTGGCCCAGTTACTTTTGAATCAGTTTCGTGGCCCAGTTACTTTTGAATCAGATTTTATGGCATTGTAGCAATCACCGATTAGAGCAGTAAATGATGTTGTGCATGATATCTTCCTAATTTGTCACATGAAAAGCTTTTTTGATAAATTATATTCCATTTACAGTGCATCATCTAAAAAAAAAAAAAAGAACTGGAAACTGTTGCCATGGCTTTAAGTGTAAAACTAAATTCCATTGGACAAATTCTAGACACTAGATGGGTGTCATCTAGCGCTTGATCTGTGATGGATGTTTAGAATAATTATGCAGCATTGTATCAACACTTTTATGAATCTTCATTGGATTTAAGGCGTAATGGAGGAGATAGAGCCCAATATGCAGGTCTTAAAAATAAATTGTGATATCAATTTCATACTCAACATGGGACTAATGCTAGATGCTTTAATAGAACTAGAACATCTTTCTAAAAAATTACAAAATAGGCAAACTTCTTTACCTGATCCACATCGGCTTATCACCTTAAAATACCATATATTTCAATCAATTAGAAATAATTTAGGTAAATATTATTCGCAAACGCAGCTCGCAGCGAAAAAGTTTTAGTTTAAAGGCGTCAAACTACAGATCAGAAAAGTTTTTAAAATTAATTAAAATGAATTTTTTAGTAAACTAAGTGAAAATCTTGATTCTAGAATGTTTACAACTAGAGCTGCGCATAAATCTTTACAAGACAAAGAAAATGATCCAAACAAAGAAAAATACGATAATTTAATAAAAAATTTACGAATTCTTGATAAGCCACAATGGTTTGCAAACCAAGATCCATGCTTTGAAGATAACAATATTAGACAATTAGCAAAAACTTTAAATATTTGTGAAATTACGGCAGTCCAAGGGTTTTGTGAATATATTTTCACTGGTGGCTGTAATAAAACCCCTAATGATTTCAGCCTCTGAGAACTGCTATAAATACGTTGACTGTTTCAACACCTAAATGTGAGCGTTCTTTTTCTACTATGAATATAATATTATCTTCCTTGCGAAACTTTATTAACAAAAGTGTCGAGTTTAATGTTCATTTCATTAGTAGGTCCACCAACTATGCATTTCGATTCAAAGGATTATGTCGTTAAGTGGTTTGGGAAAGGGCATGGCGATGCTAATTTTAGGAATTGTGAAGCGCCGGCATTAAAGTCTATAAATGAAAGTGAAACATTTTGGAAGATATTCTGACCGAATTTTTTTTCAATTATTTAAAAATTGGTAAATACAAAAAAATAAAACTTGTTAAAAAATAAAATGTTTAAATATACTATTGTTTTTTAATTGCTTAATGACGTTTGATGTGAAACTCAACTCAATATTCTATGGTGACAGTCTCTTAAAAATATAACGGACCTCAAGTTGTTTTTTTAATATAGGTTTTACTACTATAGGGATACTCTAGGGATTTATAATTCCTTTATTTAATCTACACAAAATACCAAATCTATAACTTTAGGATAGGTGGGATGGTGATTAGAAAATATTAAAAACCATCCCGCTACCTTTTTTTTTCCCACTTCGAGCACTGTATATATATATATATATATATATATATATATATATATATATATATATATATATATATATATATATATATATATATATATATATATATATATATATTTATATTTATATATATATATTTATATATACATATGTGTTTTTATTTATGTTTATTTTTGTAAATGTATATCATTTTTAAAATTATACACCTGATGCATTTTTTCTTATTTGTTTACATGTTTGTTATTGGTTTGTTTACATTTTTGCCTTCCCGAGAAAAACACTGCATCATGTGATTTATAATAGCCGCTTAATTACAAAATCTTCTATTGATTACAGATCACAAATTGAGATTTAATACATAAGTTAATAGCAAAAGTTAACAACTGGCAGATTTTCTCTGCAAACCAAAATTTTTTTGAGGTATTTTGTGGAAATGCTCAAAATATTTTGTTTTTCAACAGAAATTTTGTTTTTTACCGAATTTATAAAAAGTATTGAAACCGAAATTTCAGTATCAGTTCAAATTGAAATTTAGGTCGAAACCGATACCGAAACAGAATTTCAATAGATCACTAAAAAAGATGTTTGATAACTTACAAAACTAGGAATCCTTTAAGTGTAATTAATTATAGCATGACTATTTTAAATAAAGTAAGAAAAATTATACTAGATAACTTAAATGGTATTTGCGTTCATTTTTAAAAAAAAAACATTTAAAATACTTTTCATGCTGTAAAATCACCTTTTTAGAAATTGTAAGACTCTTAAAGGGATCCCTAAGTGCTCCTAACATATGATCTTATATGAAAGAGCATAAAAAAAATATGTAATTTTTTTTTCTTTTTCACTAAATTGTAATAATAAATGCATGCTAACAAAAAGCAATTGCCGAAATCACTAAAAAACAACTCAATTTTGATTTAATTTTTTCACCATTGAAACTCGATTGTTAGTCGTTAAAAATTACGTTAGTACTATAGAATATCTACTTTATTCTATAGTACTAACGTAATAGAAAAATTGAATTAAAATAGAAAAATTGAATTAAAACATCAACCATTTAAATGAAAAACTTAATTATATTTAAACTTTTATTAGTCCTTTATTCAAGAAACAATAAATTATAAAAAAGGTGTATCTAATTTTTTATTAAATTTTTGACGATGTTTTTTGATTTATTGACGATAAATTTTTCCCCCCATTATTGCACATCG